CTCTTGTAATGGAGCCAACCCATTTTTTTATCGAATATAGCGCCACATCGGGCTAACCAACGTTGGGCAATCTAACCGCATCTCCGCCAGCTGTTGTTGCTGTAACAAATGCAGCCGCAATGGACCACCTTAACTACATATAATGGCTGTTCCAATAACCCCTAACCCAGAGGCTCAAAGCACACACAAGAGCGGCAGCAAATTGTGACTCGTGCCAACCCAAACAACCAGATATATTAAACTGTCAAACAAAATCATAAATAAGCCAGCCAAATAGTGAAAAACACACCCACTCTTTCTGGCAAACAAACCTGGACATGGGATGCAGCACGGGAAAATTGCAGAGAAAATGCACAGCAGTGAAAATAGCGAGATGGGGGTAATACAAGAGGGACCTCTGCATATGACTGCATATTAAAGTATTGCCCCTCAACCTACGCGACCCAAAATGTTGCTGCTGGCCCCAGTCAACCAACGACCAACAACCACAAAACAACATCCACACAGGCAACCAAGCCAAGAAATGCGTTCGTTGCTGTTTTTGGTAATAAACGAAGCGTTAAACAAAATGCATTACAACAATCCAACTACCACCAACATAGAAAACACATTTTGTTTCTTTCTGATTTGTTGTTTGCCATATGCAAAGCGTCATAAATGAGGTTGCCTGTTGCTGTTGTTACTGGTTACTTGTTGCTGCCTTGGGCGTAATTACATCTCAAGCCAAAAATGGTCAAACGAGCGAGAAAATTATCACATATGAAGCCAGCATTGTTGTTGTGGCGGCAGAAATTAAATGCAAATTTTGCCTGATAAAGAAATATGTTTAGTATGTATGGTTACAATCAAAAATTTCATAATACGGAAATGTTAATTTATTCGCTTGTCTAAGCGATGGAAATTAAATGGGCTTTCGAAGATTTGACATTTGATAGGCAATTTGAATATTTTTGGTGAGCCAATTAATGATTGGAAATTTTTGTTAACGACTTTTATGTTTGTGGGGCATGGGTATGAATTTCCCTTTTCCCATTTTGACTTGCATCAACCACTCCTCGAAATCCCTCACATGTGTATGCACGACCACAATGGGTGGAAAAACATGTTCCAGCTACAGAAATTATAGCAAATGCCATGGACAGCTAATTCAAACACACATAAATCAATGAACGCCAAAGTCGAAGGCAACCCAGAAATCAGGAAGGTAAAAATGAGTAAATTGCACAGCAATAATGGAAAATAATAATAGATCATTGGAGCAAACAGCAGAATACGAACACGCCTTGGCGGTGGATACACATTTAATCATGTGAATAAATTAAAATAGGAAATTCGGGTTTTTAAAACCGAGAGAACTAACGGATTTCAAATCAAATGTTAGCGGGGAATTAAAGTAATTATATCAAAACGATATTCATTTAAATAATTACGACCCTTTAAAGCTTATGTCTTGTTCACTTGACCTTAACCATAAACCTTTCAAATTAATTAAAGTATACAATGTAAATTAGCTGTAAGTAAATAAAGCCACAATAAAAAAAATTATAGACAGCTAACGACTAATTTAAGCGGCTATAAGATTTTATATGCATGCGAAGCTAACCATTAATCCATGGAACTAAACTATGATCTGCGATGAAATCCACCAGTGAAAATGGCTTATAAGTGCAATCAGCAAGCCTTAAACAGCTAACAAATGACATTGAAATTGCACAAGACAGCACTAAATGGACACATTAGTCCATTAGCTGGCGAGTCCAGTTGGTGGCGTTAGCGTGTGCCCCGCAAAGGTGTGTCCGCCCCACCAGGTGTGCGTGTCGCCTTAGTTGCTTTGGCTTGCGTACAGTATGGTACAAGTAAGTACTTGTGTCTGATTGAAGGTTACAGCTATGAGATACGCCATTAAGCCAACAGACTGCATCTGTACAGAATCACAATTTGGGTTGGTGACTTCATTGTGTGACTCCGACTTCGCTCGGGTTCAATGAACCGCGGAGCCTCTTAAACGCCCACAACTTTTGCGAGGGAGTTGGCCCGCTCTATCCAGAGGAATACGAACATGTTGCCAAGTTGCCAAGTCGCCGAGTTCAAAGCGAAGCAGCCAGCAGCTGTCAACAGATGCGACAGATAAGCCAAATGGAAACCGAAAACCCAAAGTGTGGAGCCTCATAATTTTCGCTAGCTGATCTCGAGCAAGAAATCTACAATTGCGGAAAGAAAAGAAGGCACTAAGTGTGTTCGGGATACACGTGTGCCAATAATAGACTGTTCTTAACGCTATAAACCTCTGCTATAAAGACATCTTACATTTTCGCCCAAGAACTACTCATAAATCTGTGGGGTTACAGCCATAAATCTTCGAGGAATCATGTTTTAAGTGCAACCACGATATAGGCAAGCAATTTGTCATATGGCTAGCATAGGAGTTATCAATGGTTTACCAAGAAGAGAAGAGGAAAATGCAGATACAGGTGCAATGTACAGGGAAACGAATCGAACAAGTTGATCCGCCGCCGACCGGATGATGCCTCGTTTTCGTTTCTGTTTTTGTTTTTCGATGGCATTTATCTTGACCCGAAGGCAACGCGAAGTTTTCATGGCTCATGGCTCAAATATTGCGAGCGTCGAACTGTAAAGTTATGAAGAAGAAACTGAAGCTGGTCGGGAGCGGAAGCTTGCGTTTAAGGTTATGGGCACAGGGCCAACATCAAATGATGCCACAACTCACCAGGTACTAGACATCTTTACTTATGGGCACGTCTCTCCAAGCTTTGGAAGTATTCTATTACTTTCAACGGGTAAGCTTTACGAAGATCCTCCATTAGCACTGCGTCCATAACGCTGCAGCCCTTCCAGGTGACAAACAGAAAGAGAAAACCGAGCACCTGGAAACTGTTGTGCACCTTATCCAGCTCCAGGCCGCGGCTCAATCCAAAGGGTGTCTTGCGCTCTGGCATTCTCCACCCCCGACCCTTTCCTGCGAGCTGGACCTGACTGCGCCTAGGCCGCGGGGTAGTGTTTGCATTGTTTCGTACCAAGCCCTCGTACCGCTCCGCCGGTGGTGACATCGGCTCCTCCTTTATGTCCACCTTGGGTGGCTGAGATAGAGCCCGCTCCCGTTGGTCTGCGAGAAGCATGGCCAACTCCTTGTTTGCCACTGTAAGGCTTTTGCGCTGCACCGATGACTGGCTGGATTTTGTTTTCTTTTCTGGCGGCTTGCTGAGTGGCTTGGGGAAGTTCCAGTTGCTCTGCTGCTGGCTAAGATTGCCTTGTATCTGTGCCGGTAAAACCAATTTATCTTAGAGGATTTATTTTCTTGCACGAGGAGATCAAACCATTGCTAAATGGACAACTGTGACTTAGAACTTAAAGTGATTTCATAAGTGGCAACAACTTAAAGCTTTTACAATGCTTATTAACTTATTAGCTGTTCCCAGTAGTTTTGGTTTGATTTCCTGAATACAAATTCAGATTTCTTACGCGCTGAGGCTCTGAACCAATGGAATCATTAATAGGTGACTGGAATCTCTGTAGAGAACTCTGTCGGCGAGTTTTTTTGGTCTCTGGCTGTGCTGGGTTGTTGGTCCCAATATTAGTGCTGACGCTTTTCGGCATTAGATCGTTGAGTTTGGCCACCCGCTTTTCGGCATCCCACTTGCGAGCCGCTTCTTTTATAGTGTCCAGGGAAGCTGTCTCAGGGACTGGTTTTGTTTCTTCGGACGAAGTAGATGATGAGCTACTGGATCTAGATCTGGATCTGGAGGATCCTGACGAGGACGAGCTGCCTGATGATGCCGATGATGAGTTGGACGAGGAGCTATCCGAATCTTCATCTTGGGAGTCCTCCTCAGCTTCATTGTTTTGCGACACAGACGGGCCTATCTGTGGTGCATCCTCCAGAAAAAGAGCTAGGGGCTTAGGTGACATTGGGATGCTCTGTTTGGGTGTGCAGGCCCGTTGGAAATCCAGAGATGTGGCCCCAAGTGTCTCCTCATCGCTGGAGTCGCTCAAGTTTAGAACTCTGAATTGACCATGGTGGCCGGGAATACTGGCCGTCTTTTTAGTCGATGGTGTTTCCAGAGGTTTTTTGTTAAAGGTCTCCATGTGACCATTTCCAGAACGGCTAGAGCTGGCTAGCTCCTTAAATGCTTTGGCTGAGTTTTTATTATTTTGTTTGGGGACAGGTGAGCGGCCAACTTTCCCCTTTCCTTTGGGCTTCTTGTTCGATTCTTCAGCACTCACTGTGGATGAAGTGTTTTCCTGCTTTTCCTTCGATTTTTTCTTTGATTTTGAGGATTTCTTGGGACTCTGGTCAACCAGAGACACAGCGCTGGTGCTGGGACTGGGCGGCAAGTCCTTCTTCAGTGTCGCCATGGCGTTCTCCTTCAGCCTGTTGAGCTCCGTCTCGAAGTCGCAGAGGAGCCGCATGGCGTTGCCGACGTTTTCCATCGGCTCCCAGGAGATTTCCTCGTCCGGGAAACCCACCCATTTCACCAGCACCTGGGGACGCCCATGGTGGAAGCGCTTTCCGACAATTTTCTCCACAACAAATTCTTGGGTCGGGTCGTTGACCTGGTGAGGATTAGATCGGGTTCGTTGAACTCCACGAGAGATCTTGCTCAAAGACATCTTGCTCGGGTCGGGACAACGTTTGGAGTTGGAGCTGTTCGAATTTCGTTCGGCAAATGAGACCGACGCCGAAAAAAAGAGCGAAAAATAACCTCGCTGGTGCTGCCAACTCGCTATGAATGGCGCTAGGGATGGCAAAGCTTTTGGTATTTTTTCCTAATATTTTTCTCTTTGATCGCTGCATTTATATAAAAATTCTTTTTAACGAAAGCCTAAATTAATTTGTTTTTAAAAATAAACAAATATTTTACTTATAAAAGAATTTCCACAAACTAATCAAGTTTGTTTTTGGCAACTAAAGCAGCTACGCGTTTGGCAGCCCTGGTTATAATAAAACTCTGTTATAAGCTTTAATGCACAATTATTTAACTTTTATTTGTATTAAACAATAGGATTAAAGAATGTTCAATTCTTATTTGGGCTTATGCTGTTCCTGGCTCCGCTGGAAGAGCTCTGCCTCGAAATCCGCCACCAGCGTCATGCAATTGGCCAAGTTCTCCAGGGGCTCCCAAGTGGACTCCTCCTCGGTAAAGCCCTCCCATTTGGCCAGATACTGGGGTCGTCCGCGCAGAAAGCGTTTGCCAATGAACTTTTCCACCACAAAGTTCTTGCACTTATCCGTGCCACCCGAACTGGGTTTCCTGGAACCTTCGCCGCTAGGCATGATTTGCAGAACTCAGCCAATTAAGAATTACAACTAAAACAGCGCTGTCAACTTGGACTAGGTGCAACCAGGGATGCAAAGTCAAATTGAAGAGTATTTATTTATTAAAGAAAACCAAGCTGTTAAATCCAAATTGTTTGTACTTGCGGCCCAGCCGTTAAAAATAATTTTTGCATAAATCTTTTCCACCCCACAGACCTCTATTTTTTCAGTTCCGAGGGCTTTGGCTTTGACATAAGGTCGTTTCCTTGTGCTTCGTCGAAGCATGCTGTCCGTTTAAAACCAGTAGAGAAAAGGATAATCGCATTATTGAAACGAGTGCAACTCCTTTATTGTTTAAACAATTTGAAAGATTCAGCTTTCTTATCGATATTCCATTGTATTCTTGATCGAAGCATACGATGTCCACGTGGTTTTGATTTATGCAAAAGACCATCCCTAAGAAAGGGAACTGCCAACTGTTTTTTTAAAAAGGGAGCCGGAAGAAAGGCAGTTGAGGTTATGCACACTAAATCTAAAAGTTTCAAATGAATTCCATGGAATTCAACAGATTTTAGGATTGAAAACGCAGGCGGTTTTGCAAGGAACTTGATCTCGGAAAAACTGTCGCAAAATCGAAAACTAGTGGACTGGCCGAAGTATGTTAGCAATGCCTATTAACTATTTGAGAAATTGCTCTTTTTTAAAGCTGACCATTATATAAAATGCCGCTGGCCAGTCGGTTGTTGCACCTGTTTTTTGTTTTGGTTTACCAGACACCAAAATAGAAACCCGTTTTGAAGTCGAGTGCAGTTAACCTGAGCGGAAATAATGTTGAGCACCGTGTGGAAATGCGAATGTATTTTAATTGGCCATTGGCAAAATCTGCGCTTTTCTTTTCAGGCCACAAAAATCGCACATTGTCTATGTAAATTCGCTTTCCACTGCCATAATGTTCGACTCGAGTTGGACAACAATGTCATTGGCATGTTTCCCATCATTACGGCGCACAGAAATGCCAATTTACATGAGTATGTAAACTAGCAATTATTTCCACAGAGTCTGCATCTGGCCAAGAGATTTATTCATCGAAATAAAGCCAAAGAAATGCGTCACGTTCGGCCGGCCAGTTGGAAAAAGTAACGGCTGTGTGACAATTCGAATTCGAAAAAAGTGCGCAGTTTCGGACTAGACTCAAAATCTGATTCAAAATACAGTCTTACTTCCACAAAATGAACTAACAATAATGTATAAGAAATTAGTCCAAATTCTTCAAATACGTTTTCAGAAGAATATGAATTTTAAACACATCTTTGGTGAAATTGTGGTCATACGAGTCGTATATTGTTTTAAATTTATAAAAAATTGTGACTTGTAAAATTAAAAATATTAAAGTATTCTGTTGCTTGGTAGATACATTAATACAAATATGTTTTATTTCATTGCAGTTATATAAATGGATCTTTAAAATCAAACCATTATAACGATGTTATAGAAGTTCAAAGTTCAACAAAGGTTTAGAAATCGTGTAAGTGATACATATTATTTATATTATTTTAAATGAATATAGTACATTAATATTCATATAATTTCGTTGCAGTTGTCGAAGTTAGACTTTAAAATCAACCACTTTTGGTAATGTCATGAAAAATCAAAGACAGCAATTGGTCTACAAATCGTGCTAGTGATAAAACATAAAATCCATTTTCATTTAACTTCGTTTTTTCAGAAAATTCGACTTGGCAAATTCGAGCTTCGTAGAAGTGGGACTGTAAGAGTCAGCCAACCTGTTGCCATTATTATTGTTATGATCTCGAGCGCAAAACTGGTGCCGCAACTTTGCCATGTGCACATGTACAAACTCGTACATTTCTTTCACTTTCTTTCGGCACAACGGCAGTGGCGGCGAATTTATTTTAATTCGATAGAGTTAACAACTCGGTACATGTACATGGCGGAATAAAAGTGAAAACCCGCGACAATCCAACAACAAGGGCAGCTGGAAGGGTCTTTCTGGAGCTTTCAAAGTCAAGCGGCAATGGGTTTACTTTCGTTTTCATCGCGATATTACAAAATATCCAAAGCGACATGCAGACATGTGTATATCTTCAGTATTTAGTCTTTAATTTGCATAGTGGAACGCCAAGTAACTCGAAACTTGTTTTCCCATTCTGCTTTTGGCTCAAAAACACGCGCGACAAAAATGTTTCTGCATACAAAAATGCTGCTAGTAGATTTCCATAAGTTGTATTTCTTGACTTCAGCTATGAAATGATTTAAGTCAATATATATATAGGAGTATAGTATATATGTGGGCCCATAGAAATGATGCGGTGTGATCATCGTTTCATTAGCAAGTTAATTTTATTAACGTTGCTTTTGTCTCTCGGCTTTTGCTGGCTTTTTTATAAGACCCCAAAAAGATTCCGTCTCGGATTGCGCATCCATGGGCCAGTAGAAAGGTTGGGTATTGATATCTTATGCAACAGACTTAGTTTTAATTTGTTTGTTTGTTATTTTCTTCAGGCCTTTGTTACTTTTTTGTTCGGCTCTGATGCTGATTAATTCGAAGTTGTGTATTCGTGGTAATTGTGTAAATATTATGTCAAGCTTACGTGACACTGCCACAAGTTCAATGACACTGTTTTCGCCTGAGAATCACTTAAGGTAAACGAAATTCTGGGTTAAGAACTCTTTTACCATCGGTTTCCTTTAACTTTCGAACAGTTAACCCCATATTTAAACAGGCCTTCGAGGCGACTAAAGTCTTATTGACATTTTACTGACATTTTAACACGCTTCAGGGGAGAAATAAAAAAATAAAGTCAAGTCAATCCAGGAGCACACACAAAAAAGACTTGTTCATTTCAGCAGGTTTTTTAAAGATATAAAACTGTAGGTATTATTAAGGAATAATAAGACGCTGAATTCCGTTGTAAAATTGTTAAAAAAATTTTAAGTTCTCATTTTTGCATCAGATTTTTAATCATAGGTTACAAAAAAGGTCACGAATCTTGTATAAATAAATCCTGTACCGATTTTTTTCCGTGCACCCATAAAAAGGTTGCCGAAAAAGGCCAAAACTGTCGACATTTGCCAGTCAAATAGTGAATACCCCCCAGGGCACCGAAATCAACTGCAGGTGCAACCAAATTTGTGTCTGCCAGTTGATCAACTACTTATTTGTTAGACACTTTTTTTTTGTCAGCTAAAAAGTGTTTATTTAATCACGGCTGTCATCTGCTAACTCTCCGGAAGTTTTAGACGTGTTTTTGTTTTTATTCGAGCTTTATTACCGAGCATCCGTTTCTTTTTTCCGTGACAATTCACTCGCAGTTGGTTTTAATTTTGAGATTATAATTTTGAACACGCATTTAGTGTCGTCGTTCTTTGGATTCAGACCTTCAGAGAGTTCCGGCTTGTAAAAGACACCGATCTCACGGCTTGAAGACGCCGCTACCATCGAGATTATTTGGCATGCAGTGAATCAGAGAGGTTTTTTGGGGATTCCGAGATATTGTGCCCGAAGAATTTGACTTAAATTAAGTTTTATTTTGTCTTGTGCGGCACAAGACATCATAAAATACAAAAATCATATGTAAAACTCACTCACCTTGTGCAAAGCAGCCGCAGATGGTGACGAAGAAAAAGAAGCTGCGGCCGAGAAGCAGCGACGCCGACTGCGACTGCGACGTCGACCGAGACATTTTCGTTACTCCTCCAAAAAAAACCTTATCCGAAATATTGCTGGTTTTTTGTGTAATATTATTAAACTTTTTGTTTCTTTTGTTTTATGCCTCGGGCGTTTTGTAAATTATCGTTAAATTATTTGCTGTCCAGTATTTGCATTTTTGTTGCTGCTGCGTATACGTTTTATTGATGGCTTAGCTGGCAAATTTAGTCAAGAGCGAGAAATTGTTTTTGGGAGGACGGGTCAGACGGGTTTGGGTTTCTTCTGAAAGGTATTCCAAAACATTTTGCGTTGTTTCGGAGTTACCGTTAAAATGTAATTAATAATAATGCGATTTCTTTCTCTTTCAGTCTCTTTCGGTGGATTCTACCTGACGAAAAAGTTCAAGGCTAAAACGCCAACGTTGCGTATGATCGATAACTAGAATTGTGTGTGAGTAGGCTAAGTTCTCTAAATGGTTAATGGCATTGGACTGTTCTGAGGTTTGGGTAACTAATAAGCAATTATAATGGGGGATCTGCCAAATTAATAATATAAAAAGACCTTTAAAAAATCCCACACTGATCATAGATTGTTAACATAAAGGCATTTGTATTATATTTCTCCGAAATGCTGAATTTATAATAAATAGAACCCAATTTAAAATGCTAATTAAAGCAATGGTTCTAAAAAACGAAATCAAAAAATCATCTTTGGGGATTCCCCTTCTAAAAAAAGACTACCTATACCTTGTTATTTATTTCTTTTCTTCCAAATTAGTCACTGATTATTTTTTCAAACACCTTAAATTGGTTTTTTTAAATTTATTTACTCCTTAATGGCATTTATTTCGCGTTGATTTTCGGCAACGTTTCTTTCGGTTTTTTACTTGTCCAGCACGCGAGCCAAAAAACTCTCAATAAATTTTCACTTGTTGCTCGAGCACTCTGTCAAAAAAATAATGGCAACATTCACCTTGAATCTGTCTTTGCTATATAAACACGAAAGCATATAATATATCTTGGATCTCTGGAGGTTTGCTTTTTTGTTTGTATTCAGTTTTTTCTTTTTCTTGCAATTATTTATGCGATTTTTTTATCTTTAATTAGTTTGTTTTCTATTCGAAAGGAAAAACTTCTGGTAAATATCGCATTTTATCAGCCAACGACCTTGGCTTGCGTAAGGCCAATTAAATAATTAATAATTCTTAATTAAGTCTTTGAATGGACTTCACTGCACAATTCTTATGCATTTATGGCAGTTTCTAATTGGAGGCCAGCCGGGGGGTAAAACTTTATGTTAATTCCACGCTCGAGAATCTCAATGCTATCTAATATTGTGTTAAATGGAGGTCCATCGAATGGTCGGGGCTTGGGAAATCGAGTCCAAGTCCGGTGGGCAGGCACAGTGGGACCTCCGTTAATTGTTGCATGTATGCAAAAACTAGCTTTCGATGCAAAGTGAAATTTTCCTTGGTTATAATCAACGATTGGTTTTTTTACAGGGAGGTGTGGGGGCGGAGGAGGCGTGGTCACTTTTTATGACGCGTCGAGACAACGGTAATGTCAAAACTACGCTCTTTGCATACGTAAAATCCAACGAAAATCCCGAAAAGCGATAACCGAAGACCGAAATTCAAATTGAAACCCGCTTGTCAGCAAATCTTCCGACGCACTTGCTCCGCCGCGAAAGAGACGGGGATAACCAGAGCGATAGAGACGGGAATAGAGTGGCACGGCTCACTTACATATCACCCACTGGACGATATTGTTTTGATTTCGGTTACAATTGAAAAGACATTCACTTGGCCAAATGATCACTGGACGGCGACCGGCGGCAACAACCGAACTAAGACGCGCTTCGAATCGAACTGAAGACTGGCTGCCAGGCGGCCAAGAGAAGAGCCAAGCCATCGAAGTGGCTAAAACACGTTTTGGCCAAGACAAGTGCAGAGAGCCAGCCGCTCCGGAAGAGAGTCTGCGAGCGCGTGGCAGCTGTTGTCGTCTATTCGGCCAAGAAATGAGCACCAGAGTTGGTTTCAAGCCATGGAATCAGTGGTTCCCTTCTGGTGAAACCAACGGTCGAATTATTTGAAAAAAGAATAATCCTCTTATAAATATTAAAAAAAGAGGCGTTGTAAATTTTGAAAAATAATTTTAAATAATTTTTATTGCCCAAAGAAACTGTGTTCTTGCTGCTCGCTATTGAATATTGAAATAAATACAAGGCTCCTTAAATGCTATTCAGTAAATATCTTTAATACTTGTTAAAAAATAGATCAAAATATTTTTAGAATCCCCATTACAGTTATGGTGATTAAGTATTTTTATATATTGGACATGGTATTCAGAAGCTGCTAAATTCAGTTTAAAATAACTTTCCTTATACATTAACATTAAAAAATCAATTACTTGTTATACATTCCGAATAAAAACATTTAACTTTTTGAATAAAAACAAATTTAATTAGTTTCTTGTTTATTTTCGACTTGAGAAACAGTCTACATTCAATTTACATGCTGTAACCTACGTAAAAATACACAACAATCCAAAAGCTTGTCAAGTATAACTGAAAACTTAGTCAAGACCTGAACATCTAACCAAGCAAAAGCTGTGTTGGAAAGCTAATGGAGCGTTTAATTGCAAATTTACTATAATTTAATTTTCTATTAAAGTTCATTTAATATTTTTAGGAGTAATAAGTCAAGAAAACTAAACAAAAAGTTAAAAGTTAAAAATTTTGACTTAAGACTAAATGTTTTAGAGATAATACATCAAAACTCGGTTACTAATTTGTTTTTAGAGAATAGTTCTTAAAAATGTCTGTGCAAAAATTTTAATAAAATGTAAATCCTTTAAAAACAACTTTTTTTATTTTTAGGCTTAACCAACTCATCCAACTAGGAAAACTTCAAAGTTAATTTGTGCCAAGTAGGATTGAACAAATTAGGACGATATTCCCTCATCATATGTCACGGCCCAAATCGTGTGGTTTAACCCACTTTAAGTCAAATCTCGAGCAGGGCAAATAAATTACAAAGCCAAATAGCCCGGCGGAGAGAGGGCAGAATTTAGAATCCAGAATCCTTTGACTGACGATAGATGGCCCCTGTTCCCCAGAAAAGCTTTCCCCTCGAAGGGAGGTTCCCAGCAAAGATTGGCATGCGACTAAGAATGGAAATGGCGATGGAGCAGGGGTAAAAGCGCCTGCAGGGCATCGATTGCATGGGCCAACGCTGCGGATGCGTGATATAAGCCCAACACGGCGACTCCAGATATGCAAATGATGTGATACGATGTGATATGATGGGATGTGACAGCGACAACTGTTCAGCTAGTTGGGCGAGTATGTAATCGCATGGAGGCGATGCTCTCATCTTTCCGAGAGCTCCAACTGTCCACCTGTAGCCCCAAAAAGAAAAGTAAGCAATCTGCCAAGCGCCTTCTGTTTGTTCTGTCTGCTGGTTTTGATATTTTTTAATCTATTCGCAGATCCCAGCAGCTGTCACTGACAAGACAATGCGATTTTCACGCAATTTCTCAACTTTCCAGATTGCGGCGAATGTAAGGGATTTCTTTGTTTTGTCATTATTATGTCAGTTATCCGCTGCTCTTATCAAATCCCCTTTTGTTCCTGACTACCAAACGCATTTATTTCATTTTACTTTCGACTGAATTATTAATATGTGCCTTTGACCTTGCTGTGCTTCAAATTTTTCTCGAATTTTTTGGCAACTCTACCCCTTTTTGTTTTATTTATTATTTCTGGAGTCAGCTCTGAGCTGTGAGCTCTGAACTCTGGCATTTCCCCAAATAAAAGAAATATTAAAACCGCAGCAGTTCAGTCGAGTGGAAAAATGATAGTTTAGTGCAGCAGCCTTACGCATTGAATATTTTTTGTGGTTTAATTTCCTAAGTTTTCTCTTTATTCCTGTTTTAAATGCAGGAAACCTGTGCATGACTTTTCTAAGTATGCAATTGTGGAGCTTGGTTTTATAACCGGGATTGCGAATAATAGTTATAAAATTAAAAAAGCTGTTAAGAAATATATTTTTTTCGATTAAAGTGTCTAAATTTTAGACAACAAAAACTTCAAAATTTCTGATATTTATGTACATGATGTGGTATATCAAAGGAAATATGTTGCTCTTTCAGTTTTTTTATATTTAAGGGCATTTGATTTTTTAGTTAAAATATGAAATAACTTTATTCCTGATTTGTTATATTGGATTTATATATATATATATATAAATGATTTTTAAAAAATATATATACATTTATTTTTTTAACAAAATTATAACCTCATAATTCCATTTCGTTCTTTAAATATCAGTCATATTTAACAAGTGAACTTTTTTGATTCCCCTTTATATCCAAGAACATAAACCACAAACTATGAATCTATTGTGCCCGGGTTATGCATATTACAATGCCTCGTTAACATGTCGATAATACGTGATGCGCCCGGAAAACACATGTGACCCCTTAAAATGTCATAACTCGAAATCCTGGTAGATGTTTGTGAGCGGGAAAGAGTAGAGATATGGAGATGGAGAGATTCCCAGAAGGCAGGCCACAGACACGTACTTAAGGCACAATTCAGTTGGCGATTTGTCATTATTTTGCATGCAACCGACCGGAAACGGAAGCGAAAACAAAAGCTCCCAGAGTGGCTCAACTTTGTCCAATTGCAACTTGGTTGTTGGTTCATAAGTTCGCCAGAGTTTCTGCGAAGTTTTGTTTGCCGGGGTCCAGCGCAATTCCAGAGTTTTTGAGCAATGCAGCTGACGGCGGTGAAAACCCATAAAAGGCAGGCAACCGCCCACATTCTTAACCCTCTGATGCCCGCTGATAAATGAGCAACCCATGATTTAGCCAAAGTTGTGAGCGAAATTTCTGCTGTTTGTCTTCTACATTTTGGCAACAATGTCGGGACAGCTGCCAATTCTAGAGTAAGCAAGAAAATGAGGGCAATTGTTGCTGTTCCACTCCACTGCGACTTTGACATTCGAAGTCCTCGAAAAAAGTGGGAGGTCAAAGGGCACTTGGTCAGTCATATGTCCTATATTTGCTTTTCGTCTTGCGGGTCACGGTGAGCTGTCTTTTTTCTTGCTTTCTAAAAATATAAGGGCACTAAAGAGGGAGAATCTTAAAGATAGCGAGTTTTTTAAGCTTTAAGTACGCACATTATTGGATTGTATAAACCAGCACTTAAGAAAGAAATCAGTATAAATTAATATATATATTATAAAATTCTTTAGAAAGCTCCTTACATCTTGCAAAAAGGTGCAAGTTCAAATAACCAACCTGCAATCTTAAAGCAAAATTCAGAGTTCGAATGTTTTATTTAATTACGAAAATGGCAAACACAATCATGCAATCTCAAAGGAATTGTTTTCAGCTGCTAGTCAAATGCTTCTATCGCTCTCAACTCCATAACATGCTCAACCCGTCCTATAATCCCATCGAGAATTTTCATCAGCTGCCCCTATGATGGAATTGCTCCACTGACTATGGCTAATTTGATTGAAAAGGGTTCATCCTCACTTTTCCTCACAATTCCCCAAAAAAACACCACCATCATCATCCCACGCAATCAACGAAACGAAAAAGAGATTTATTTTATCAGGACTCAAAGTTCGCCATTTGGACGCCTTTCGCTTTTTGGCCCAAAAAAAGAGAAGTTGCCAAGTCTGACCAGCGATTTGGCCCGATACAAGAACTAAAATTGAAGTGGAAATTAATTAGACAAGTGCCGCTTTTGGACACTTGCGATGTTGTGAGCTGGATAAACAAGGAATTTGAATAGACATCATAAATTGTTTAATGACTTTGTGAATTATAAATGGAATAAATCTGAACTTGACCTTTATTTAAGCTAAGAGTCTTTGGAGGCTTGTTGGTAAATAAATCTTAATGCGAAAAGGAGACATTTAAGGCATAAATAAAGCTGGAGGGGCCAACTTGTTATTAAATTAAACAAGATATTTTCAAGAAAATCAAAGAAATCATTATCATATTAGTAACACATCTTAACGGTGATTCAAAACCTTTTGACCTGTTAACAGGTGTCAGCTGTTTTTCGATGGAAACATAAGAAATTTTAACAAAACTAAAAAGAGCTCAAGGACCTTGTAGTTTTAAATTAAATAAATCTGAATTTTTCACCTACTTAAGGCTTTTTTATATTTAAATTTGATGCAAAAACAAAGCTTTTTCAGAATATTGTATTTAGTTTACCAAGAAACGTTCATAAAAATCAAAGAAACCATTGACATATTCGTAACACATCTGATGGGTTATTTTGAACCCATAACAGGTGTCAGCTGTTTTTCGTCATGGAGAAGATAAAAGAGACCTTTTTATATTTAAATTTAATGCAGAAACAAAGAAATTTCAGAATATTGTATTTAATTTACCAAGAGACGCTTGTCAAAATCAAAGAAACCATTAACATATTCCAAACACATCTGAAGTGTTGTTTAAAACCTTTTGACCTTTAACGCGTTGAAGACAAAGGGAGGCCAAAAAAAGGATTCCCGTTGGCTTTTGGCAGCTTTATGGAAATTCCTGGGCCCGTCTTTGTTCTGTCTATTGAGAAAAGCATAAATCGGGGGACCAGTTTAATCTTTGCGGCTGTCCCATTCAGTTAAGCATTCGAATGTGACAACTCGGGCGAATGTCCTTTTTACTATTTGCTCAGCCGGGAAAAGGACTCGTGATTTTCGACGGGTTGAGTGGCCCAGTGGT